CAAAGAGAAAGCTGAGAATTGCTGGTTTCTTTGCGTCGTTACCTTTTCTAACATATCTTTGTAATAAAAGACTAAAGCCATCAATACACTGCGTTCGATAATAGAGAAAAAATAGCACAGATAGTGCGGGTGTTGAGTAAATAAAATGATCGCTCTTTGCAATCCTTGTGCGCGCGCTCAATTGCACCAGCAAAAGCGCGCGAGAAAACTGTGTTCGGCCACCTTAACAGTTCGAATTTCGCAATATGGACTGCTAAGATGGACCGGTCACGAATTAATTCGGCGAATTGCGTTTTCAATTTTCAATTCATTGCGAAAAAAATAATCAGTTTTTGGTTAGTGGAAATCTTTTTACCTTCATGTTTGGAGCACAATTTCGGTTAAAAGTTCGCAAACACAATGGTTTTCTTACCTAGAATGGATCGCCGAGACACATCAATGTAGCAGCAGATTTTAAAAAGAGCCATTATAATAAATTCTTTATTGAACTAACTTGTTCGGTCCGTATTAGAGAATATTGGTTTCGTTCTTTTCTTTGCAAGTTTATGGACCTCACCTGCTGCTCGGTTCATAAACCTGCAAAAAATAGAACTCGACCAATATTTCTCCAATACGAACCTCACGTTAGTTCGATAACATTATATGTACCTGGAAGTTTAAATAGTATATACGTGTGTTCAAACGCGATTTTCTCATCAAATTTTATTAAAAAGTGTTCATACTGAAATAAACTTAAAGATATGGTATAGCTTACAACTGCAATATTCTTTGCGGTCAACAAGTAAACAATATATAAACCAAGACATAAATCGATTAAGAACCACCCGTGAGGTAAACCTTGTATTAACGTGATGCCATTAAGTATCATTTACGGTTGTTTCGTTGGGTAATTTCAAAACGGTAATTTAGAACAATCAAGGTTGACAAAGATGGTTCTTATATAATAAGAACAAAAGTAATATAAGTGTTGAGTTTTTGGGCGAAGGAATGACACCAACATGACGGTGCAAAGACGTTTTGTTTCAAAGGGCAAGTAATTCATATATTTTTAAGGGTGCCGCTTCAAATTTCACTCGCGAGGTTAACACATCACTCAGAAATATGAAGATGTTTAGGATCGAGTTTATTTTGATCATAAATATGTACTTCACTGCTATCGCCATATCAGAGGATCTTGAGATTTTCAGAGTAAGATCTGATGGGGACGACGGATGGCAGCAAGGCACAGATTCGTTCAAGATCCCTCCATCATTGTGTGATCAAGATAAAAGCGATTCCATAAACTGTGCAAGATTCAACGCTGATGTTAAAAGTGAACATGGTGAAAGGTGCTTTTGTTCATGCTCCGACGAGGATGCAACTTTGATGTTTAGTAATAATGAATGGAGATGTTTAAAGAATGATAACCTCCGTATCTTGCTTGGTGAGTAAATAATCCTCTTCGGCTTAATTGACTTAGAAGCTGATTTTCTTA